ACTTGATGGAGAGAACCAACCCTTTTTGACTCCACTCAACTGCTTTGCAAAGACCTCGGTTCTCCCAGAAGCCAGGGGAAGAAACATTCATATTGTTTCCAGCCGTATCAATAGCGAAGCGAATTAAGGGCCGCAGGCATACCCTTCTCGGTGAATGTCGCGATTTTTGCAGCGCCAACCTTCGACGTCCGAGCGTTGTTCTGAACTCGCTGTCAAGGAGATGAATGGATGACGCGGAGTTTGTCAATGTAACCCTGCGCCACATGGGTGCGGCCAGACCACGGTGCTACCATGACGACACAATGGAAGGGCTCGAGCGTTTCTATCGGTATGAGGAGATTCGGGGGCCCATGACTTTGCCTCTTTTCTCGTAAACGAAAAGGGGTGTGGGTGTGTCTGCTAAACATTCTACACAGCTCAGAGAGCTTCGACCACTCCACCGTCATTGATGTTCTTCAGCTCCCATCCCGACTGGCGTCAAGCATATCTCCCAGCCCCGACTCAAGAGGCGTTCGTCTCAAGTTGAAGCTTACTTTTACCGCCGCCATACATACTTTTCTCGCATGGCAAAAGGTGGGCAAAGCTCACCCAGAGCCCTGGTGTCTGGGAAGTGGGCCAGAGCTCCATTTTTCTCCCTGTCAAAGTTCCGAAAATAGTGACCACACCATGTCCAAGTGCCGTCCATCACTGGGCTGGCTGCCGCCGGTAGCAGTTAGCATGCAATCTGCCCAGATCTAGAAAGTGAAAAGTGACTGATAAGGCATAGGGTCTTGAGCTATCATCAGTTTGACAGAAAGTTTGTTTGCGCGACATCTCTTATTCGCAACTGCAAATGTGAACGGCCGCTCCAGCTTGAGATGCGAGTACGATGAGCACACTCATATGTGGGGATTCATATGAAATCGTTGCGAATGAACATTGGCGCGCTATGATCACGCGAGCAGTTTCCTGTACTTTGGTTGAATCCATGTTTCTATCTTTATGTGCGGAGCTGTGACGTGCATGCACCCTGTGCGTTGGTTTGAACCCACGAGTCCCACGGCTCATCGATCTGCGGGTGAAAATGCTTATCGTGATCGGTCATCCACAACCGTGCTCAACGTTCCTGAGGGCATCGATCGACGGGGTAAGCACCGCATCAGGATGATGCATGGAGTGGATACCAAGCGTCTGCGTGTGAGCGGTCGTGGGTGCTATGGGTCCTACCAGATATGTAGCTAAGGTCTGCCTTGATTAATCCTGAGGGTCGCTCACAGCCGGGTCGCCTTGAACATGTCCTCCTCGACTATTGAATGATTGTCGTTCTCGGAAGTGGGGAAACTGGCCTGCCTCAACTTACAAATTGCGTGGAGCTAACGATGTAGCGAGAATTAGAAGTTCCAGACCATGCATTACTAGATGAGCAGGCTTCAAGTCTAGCAGAGAGTGGTGTAAAGTCGCCTCATTGACTGTTTGTAAAGTAGGTTGATTGTTAAAAACATGAAGATGAGCTGTGCCAACTTGGGTATATACATCTACTCAGCCTCCTTGCCAAAACCGCTGTTTATCATTGCCTTACATGTATTGGATGGCTGTTATTGGATGCTGTCTTTTCCAGCTGCATACGCATATGTATCAGGGCACTCTTGTACAGAACATCAGACCTTTTGCGGTTTCCAACCCACCAGTGCTACTCTGGCAGCGATGAATAATACTACACCGACAGCACAGCACACTCCACCAAATATCTTGGTGTTTTGGAACGACCCGCGACTGCTGCTGATGATGGCGCCACCAATTGGCGAGCCGGTCAAGGCAGCGATAGACGCAACGGCGTACGCAGCGCCGGTACGGACTCCAATATCCTGAATGGGCGAGATGTGCGCGACGAGCACGGGTGTCAAGCCAATACCGGCTCCGGATGCTACTCCAAACAGGGCCGCAAAGGTGATGTCTGCGGCGTTTCCGGTCGCAGGCAGCCAAAAGGCCAGGATAAGAATCATGGTCAAGAAGCTCATTGTGATCATCATGTTGAAGTGGCCAACCTTGTCAGCGAGGGCGTTGGGTACTGTGCGTCCGATGATACTGCGAGTAACGAGTCAGCAACGATGGACAACAGTCCGCACAACGGCGGGAGTTTCTTACCTGGCGCCGTTCAGGATGGGGACGAGGTATTGTGACAAGCCCTCCGACATGCCCCCTGCGCGAGCCTCTACCACGATGAAGGTGATGGGAATGAACATGCCCCCTTGATAGAGTTAGCTTGAGAGCCATGATGCGTCGCTTCCGAAAAAGGCTTACAGTAGAAGAAGTAAACTGCTGCAGTAAGCATTGAGAAGGGCAGTTCCCGGAAAGGTTGAAAGAAAGCCATGACGCGAAACGGGCGTTTGGTTGGCGGGATGCGTGAGCGAACGGTGAAGTTGGCCCAGATCAGCAGAGCCAGAATGAGAAAGGCACAGACCCTCATAGACCAGCCGAAGCCGATCTGCGGGATGAGATGAATCAGCATGATGGGAAAGATGACGCCTCCGAGGGACGAGCCGCAGACCGTGAGCCCAATGGCGGCGCCACGTTTCTTGAAGAACCATGTCGTAACCTGCATGGAATGAAATGACGTTGTCAGCCGCATGTCACCCACGTGGAGGGTTTGAACGAGCTTGAGATGTGTTGACTTACACAGGTAAAAGCAGGATAGAACACCATCGAGGCGCCGATTGCAGAGCAGATAGCTTGGCTAAGCAGAATTTGGTAATACGTTTTTGAGATGCTGACCATCATCAGGCCGAAGACGTGGAAGAATGTGCCAATGGCAAGGGGAAGCGCCGGTCCATAGTCGTCAATTACTTTGCCGATGAACAGGCCGCTGAAGATCATGAAGAAGACTGCCCATGATGAGCACGATTAGCGATTTTCCCGATATCATATGTTCATACAAGTAGAGTCAGATGACGAGAGGTGAAAAATAATGAGTGAAAAGAACTAAAGAGGTCGATCTTACTTTGCAGTGCAGGGATCCATGCAATTTCCGATGGCGTGTAGTCGCGCAATTGATTTTCCTGGTAATAATCTTGGAAAATGCCAACACAATTCACCCATCCAAAGGAAACGAAAAGGCACGCCGAGGCGCCAGAGACAGTCAGCCAAGCCTTGGCACCGCCCTCCGGGAATGCTGATTTATCGAACCCTGCTGGGCTCGCAGGACTCTTGACAGCCTCTGCCTCTCCATCGCTGGCAGGCGGCGCTTGAGGCGCGAACTCCTCCTTCTTTTCTGTGTCGGACATCTTTACCCCGATGCTGTGCGATGCTGTCGATGATGGTTCGACGAATGATCGATCCGATGATGCGGTGTTTGTGGCCGGCGACGGGAGAAAGAGAGAGGAGGTGGGAGAATGGGACTTCTTCAGGACCGGCGGTCCAGCAAACAAAACAAAAGTCCCAAAGCAGTCAGACGGATGTAAGAAATTACGGACTTTGATTAACCGCGAGACAAGCGCGAAATGGATTGGTCAGAGAAAGAAAGCTGGTCTATTGGCGCCGTGTGCCGTAAGCAAAGACGCCCGGTGGCTTGATGACATTGTCTCACCAACCGTTAGTGCGGCCCAACACCCGTGGGCAGCGCCGGCGCCTTGATCTTTTGTGATCCGACCTCCGAGGCCGAGGGACCGGGTGCCGGCCTCGGTCTATTGCGGCGGCCGAAGATATAGGTTTGACTTGATGAGGCCGAATAGTAGCTTCGGTCCTTGTGTCGCCATGACTGTAAGGCAACAGAGCAATCCGAAGAACGGCTGCTGAGACGCCATCATTCTGCATTACTGCTATGCCGCGCGCATTGACTCGCATACGATACATCACGACAATCTCGAAAATATTGTGAAAGTCTTACCTGGACGAGGACAACGGCACTCGTTTGAAGGGGAAGGGTTGGGGGGACACGTCGATAGGTAGGGCCCTCAACAGATCATTCTTGATTGCCTCATTCCCAGTCCGGCCGTACTCCGCTTTGCTGACTATCATTGTACATATTTGTTTTCTCATAGAATAATACCATTCCATGTTTGCCCTCACGCAACCAACGCGTCCATCCGCTGACACCAATACTCTACAGAGTCTTTGTTCTCATAGGAACCTTTCTCCAGCGTGAAAGGCTCAGGTCCGACTGCCAAATCGATACCTAGCTCCTTCATATTGCGTATCTCTTCGGCCGTCAGCATTCATTCGTCCATCTGACGGAGCACCTCATACATTCTGTAGACCCAATATAACGGATAGAACTCCGCTAAAGAGCAGTCCAACTCTTCCCATTTCCTATCAAGCTCAACCATGAGAACCTCGAGAGCCTCAACTTCTTCTTCCAAGATCTCAAGAATTACTTCATCGTCATGTTCTTGGAAGCCATCGCAACAGCAAGTATGCCGAAGGGGCAGCATGGCATAGGTGCACGCCCGCAGCCATGTTTGCTTGATGTGCCGCGGGAAATCAAAAGCTGCTTCCATCGCCAAAGTCCGCTCACGGACAAAGTTCATCATGTGCGCCGTGTCTCCTGCATAGACGGACCTTCTATAATTTTCCAGGGCTGTCTTCCACATTAAGTTGTAAGGGCTGCAGCCGCCAACGGAGCATCCACAATTGCAAATGTCTCTTGTATCAAAGGTCGGCATCAACACACCATAGGGTTCCAAAAGGCGGTGCAGCAAGCGGAAGGAGCTGTTGTCCTTCGCAAAGTTGCTACAAGACCCGACTAATCTCAGAACATGATGTGCTGTAGAGTACTTGGCCACGCAGTTGGGTACTTGTCTCTGCAGGCTTGCACCACGTTGCATGAACCAAAATTCAATGGACGCTCCCAGAATGTGATAGACAGACGCACCCCTGCACCATATCTTGTCACTCGGCTCGTTGGATGTGACCCCCAATTGCCACTCTGTGGCGTGCAAGTCCGTTCGACAACGGGGATGAACATTGACGCCTTTCGAATCGAGTGATTCCAAGACTTGCCTGGTGTAGTAGTCGAGAACAGTGTATTATTTCCTGAGGTCCATCCTGTCGATTTGATCGCAGTTCAAGTGCATGAGTCCCAGACGTTTCAGCTCTTCCCTGCGAATTTTGAGCTCGTCTATAATCAGGTCTCTTGCCTTGACCGAAGCGCCAAGCATTGCATTTACCCAGTTGTCATGCAAGTTGAATTGGAGTGAAGAGTCCTTTCCGGCTTTCACGAGTAGATCGACGGCGTTTGCGGATGGGCAGTCACCCAAATAGCTCTGCGGGCTGTAGCCTACGCATATCTTCCCACTCCAGCTGAGAGCGCTGCTAAGTAAAGTGGACTGACTTTGGTCGAGTAGCTGGAGGCTGGCAAGGCCATAGTGTTCAACCATGATCTGTAGGCCTTCGGGCCATCCCACAAGATAATTCAGCATCTTCTGGCCAAATGGGTCCATCTCGCACAACTCTGACCTGCTGGCATTCTTCTTGAGGATGTCGAGCAGCATCGTTTTGTTTTGCCGGACAATGGCTCCCATGAGGTGGCCTTCGTAGGCTGCAACTGATTAGGCCCTGTCGTAACAATCAAGTTAGTCGGGATACTTACCTTTCCTCATCTTCAAAGATGTAGCAGACGCTCTTCTGAAAGCTTGCATTGCCTCCGCGTCGCAATTTTGAGGATGCATTTTCGCATCCTGTGGAATCAGCGGGGTTACGCTGTCATCCGGCAAGAGGATGTCGAGCGCGCCCATGCTCTGCGCAAGAGCATCCAAAGGAGTAAATGAGAGGCAGATGTACAAATGAAACGGATATCTGTAGATCAATGTTAGCATTCTGGCTTCTAATAGGGCACCAAGATACGCACGATCCATGCTCATCTGGTCGGTCCCGTGGAACTCCCGCGTCAACCAAAAAGGCAAATACCCTGTTTCTATACCCTTGCCAAGTTCTATTGGCCACTATGCGAGACATGACTCCCAGAAGACTGCATCCCGAGTTATCAATCTCAAGGGGAGACGATGTTTTGGCCATGAACGTGGCCTGCAGGGTCTTCAAGTCGCATTGAATCAGGTCACTGCACTCTTCGTCATTCCACTTCCGATGGAAGAATGCGGGTTCCAAAAGGCGAATGATGTTCAGAGCCGGGCTATTTTGGCGGACGGGATAGTATGTGAAGGATGGCGATATGCCAAAGCCCCCCGCACCAAAGGTGGCGGACATCGATAACGTGATAGCGGCAGGAAGAATGGCTTTCAGAGTAGTTGTCGAGATACTGATAGACCATGTATCATTCAATGTCGTGCATACGCTAGCGAAGGAGCACCAGGACGCATGAACGTTACCAATTAGGCTTGATTGCTCCCAGAACGCCAGTCCCATCCGTTGTCTCCTCTGTCTGCACACTTGACGTGGCTTGCAGGTGCATTGGAATCCAGGATAGGAGCGGCGTCCCGAGAACGGACGGTCTGGATCGTGTGCTGCAAGACCGGTCGCGCTATTTCCACTGTCGATTTCTGCAATGTCGCATAAGTTCTTCAACACGTCTGGTCTTGAGACCAATCGTGGTAGGACCGCCCTGTCATCGGAAGATGAAAACATCAAGGACGTCAACATCAGTTTCAACTCCTTTAGATCTTGTCTAACCAGAGTTGTCTCCTTTTGAGTTGCGGCCAAAAGCGAATTCGTCGTTTTCTTTTCGATGTTGTTCAAAGTCGAATTCAAGATCATTTCGTGTGAGTGATTCTGCTGGACAGACGTCTGAACAGCCAAGTGCATTTGAGAAACTCCCCGCGATAATGAATCGAGGCCAGTTCTCTGTCCTTGCAAATCCTCTCCATGGCCGATGGAGAGCTTCCTATACGCATGGTTGGAGTCAAATTGTAAGAGCCCAAAGTGTCACAAACGATTGGACCTGTAGCAGGGCCGCCTGAAGAGCTCTGTTGGCAGCGTCCAGCTGGGCGTTGAGGCGATACAGATGATCTTGCTGGAACTGATACAAAAGCTTCATTTTCTGTTTCTTTGCCCTCTTCATGACCGAATTCGGGGATTTGGTGTTGTTCCCGGTGCGTATCTTTTCAACAAAGTTACCGAGGGTGGATAGTTCGACTTCCGCTGTCGTCATGGCCTCTCTCACGGCGCTGATGTTGACGCCGGTAAGTTGGTATTGAAGTGACTTGATCTGTTGCAACAGAGCGTTCATATATTTGCAACATCCCGTTGTATACTCCATGTCCTCTTTGCGGTATTGGACTCCATCGAGATAATTGCTGATGCTGGCGCCGACTTGAAGCCTTAGGGACACCACCCCAAGGACTGTTCCCAAGACATCTGCCATGCTTGGCGTCTCTTTCTGGAGTTTCTCTCTGTTGTTACTGTGGTATAGTCGAAGGTCGGTTATCAATGAAGAACAGAAGTCACATCCAGAAGACCAGGCGATTAAGAAGTGTGCAGACGACTCTGGAAGAATGAAGTCGAGATGTTGGATAGCTCGGAGAGGTCGGGGAAAGAGCTTGAGCATGACGAAGACCAGAGAGACAGAAATCTCGACGAACTTTCGGAATCAGGCTGTCAGATGCACCTTGACTTGGTCTGGGTCCAATGTTACAACCCCTGGATGTTTGCTACCCCCAGAACCAGTCTAGCCTACCAAGTATCCGGCATTCTTTATCAACTTAACAAGACCAGACCTGCTTTTTGTCGCAATGTTCGGTGTCTTCAATACCACGTTTGCAAACATTCAGGGGCTTTATCGAACACGTCCACCACGCCTGTATGCGGCGCAGTTCACAGCCGTATATTGAGGTCATCCATGCTTACATTTCCTCTTTCGGCTTCCACTATCAGTTCCCCTTTTCAATTAAATCAAAGACCGGAAGCCTGGGAATTGAGTGTTTTGAGCGTTTTCCGGAATCAATCGTCCAAAGCTAATCAACATTCTACGATACAAAACTTCATACAAAAGCTGGCCTTCATAGAGTCTGGAGGGCGCGACCTGCCTTAGGCAGGATTGAATGGAACGCATGCGATGAAAACACTATCAATTATTGAATTCATCTATCTTGCCCAATAGATAAGGCTCTCCACCTCAGTTGGTTGCGTCTGAGAGGACAGTCGAAAGGAAGTCGTGGTGCATATGCAAGTGAAGCAGACCCAACGCCATTTATATGCCATGTGATTTTTATCTGATGCTCATGAAGTCGTACCGAGTTTACTGGCTACCGACGTAGTTCTCGCTGGTAGCGTCGCCGACGGTGACGGTGACGTTGTAGTTGGTCAGGGTGGTGCTGGAAGAGGCACCGTACAGGCTGTAGACGCCGGCGGAGACGACGTACGTGCCAGCGGCGAGGTCGGCGGGGATGGTCACGATCTCGGTGATGTTGTCAAGAACATTGGACTTCTCTGTTGGGCACAAGGTTAGATCAAATTAGGTGGCTTCCGTGGGGTCCGCAAGGAGGCTTACCAGGTCCGAGGTAGAAGGAGCCGATGACTGTGGAGAGGGTGCCGGGGTAGGCAGAGGCCTCGGGGGCGATGCCGAAGGCGACGGCGACATCCTGGACGGACTGGATGTAGTTCTCAGTCTCGATGATGGCGTTGACCTGGTCGCCGGCCTTGACGGTCTCGGGGAAGGCAATGCCGTAGATGCGGGCGTTGGCCAGGGCGAAGAGGGAGGCGGCGGCGGCGGCGGCGATGGAGGCGCGGAACTGCATTTTGAATGATTTGTAGGGGGTTTGGTGGTTAAGGTGGGATGATTATTGTGGTTGGTTCAGGAGTTCAGATTAGTTGGATGTCTAGATGCGTGTTGGGATGGACAGGAGGAGATGGGATGGAGAGGATTTGGCCGATCTTTAAGTATTCCATCACAACATCAAATGAACTTGGAGACTTAACCCCAGCCGCCTCCATATCCCCACGGTTATTTTCGCATCACCCGACGTCAGGTTCCCGGCACTCAGCCAACATGTCGGTAGGGCGGCGCACATCATCTGGGCATGACATCGTTGGGTCCCCTCAATCCTCCCCCGTGCTAGCCGAGCGAGCGGCTCCCGACTCCAGCGGGGTGGCGCTGCGGCTCATGTCGCCATCGGAGCGTTTCCTGGGTCACTTGGAAGACTTTGGGCGTTGAGCGCAGCCTGCATGACGCCTAGAAAGTTTCCTAATCCGCCTATTCTTAGCAGTTTCCGCCAATTTAGCGGGTTCTTGGTTCTTCCCGGGGAACATTGCAGATTTGAACAACGTCAGTCCCGGAAAAGGGGGGGGGAAAGAGGGAATTCGGTCGGTCGGGGGAAGCGTGCCGCTGACACGCGCGGGAGAAGCGACGGGGGCTGAGGCCCAAAGGTGGCACTAATCAAACTTTGGCCTACTTTTCCCCGAGTGTTTTAGTGCCGATCCGGCCGATCTTTATAAATAAAAACGACTTGTTTTTGACAAGCTCTCGTATTGCCCCGAGGGAAGAAGGGAGCTTCGCTGCGTGGCGTTGCTTTTTCCTTCGCTTCGATTCGAGTAGACGGCGCTGGACCGGGCTGTCCTTACCGCCTAACAACGGTAACGTTTCAATGGGCCAAACAGAACAAACACGTAAGAGTCAGACAACTGACTAGCAGACAAACTGTTAGCATAGTGTTGTTCCTCAATATGTGGAGAGGACCAGCATGGCGCAATGAAGTGCTGGAGCTGAGGGATCTGGGTGGGATGCGCCGCTTTTTAGGGGTCTAACCAACCAGCTGCCGGCAGTGATCTGGTGTGCGCAACTGTCCGCTGCATGTCGCTGGGAGCAGAAGCTCTGCTCGACGATCTTCTCGTGTTTGCGGGGCCAATCGTACCTGCCTAACATTTTGCCCAATATAACCAACTTAGTGCGCCTTCCTTCCATCATCTGATTAGTCACCTTGCCAGAGTGGTTAATGGGCTGGCCTGCTATTATCTGCTATCAAGCCAGTGTCTTCGGACGCGCAGGTTCGAATCCTGTGGGTGACGATTTCTTTTGCATTTTCTTTCGCACTAACTCACCATATTTTGGTCCTTAATTCACACTGCCTCTCCACATCGCTTGCATGGACATTGAGCATTCAGATTTACCCACGAGTCATTTGCAAAGCCGTACGCATAACGAACGATGCGTAGTTATTGTATTAGATTATTTTTCATTACAGTTTCTACAGCAGCACTGCTCTACTGAAATTCAACGTTACTTCCTGTTGCTGGTATTGATGCCTAGCCAGACGCGTCCTGGATCGCACGCTCACGTCAATGAGCAACGAACATGGTATTGGTTTCGCACATCCTCGGACGCCGTCGCATCTTTTCTTCCACTCCAACGCACAAGCTTCGTGGCTTGGCACACTAGATCGGCCCGTAGACGTACGTCAGATGCCCCTACCATCACGCCGCCCGAAAAACGGCGGAGAATAAGACACCTCAAGCTCATCCTCGAAAGAATACGAGGATTTGCCTCTTGGATTGACGAACGCATTGAGAGTTTTCACTCCACACTTCAATCAATTGCTACCCATCGCGGCTTTCGGCATGTGGCCTTTGGGTCTCGTGTGAAGATTGCGTTGAGGCGCAGAGCCAATTCACAAATATTCTTGTACATTTTGAGTGGTGAAATTGCCTGGGGCACGTGCCAACTCGTAGACATGCGATCAAGTCTACCCCTTCCAAGCCGAAGCTCTCAATTGCCTTGTAACTACGGTGTTCGATTCGACCTCTAAAGCACAGGAGATGGCAAGAAGATTTGATCGAGAAGAATAATTAGGGTGGTGACGTAGTCCGTATCGTTGCGGAGGCTCACTAGCTGAAGGGCCACTCTAGGGACTAAGCCCAGCAAGGCGGCTTAGCTGGTGATCGCGGACTTCCCATCGGATCCGACCTCAGACAATGATCATGCTAAGAATAGAAGAAGCCTGGGGAGACAAAACTTGATGCAGGGATTTGATGGCATCAGAGACAAAAACGGCAATTACCATAATGAGATCGATCTGCATTTACTCAAGTCCCAGCACAACTTCCAGTGACTTGAGACTCGGCGCCCATGTTTTTCTTGATTCTGTTTTTGAGCTTTTGACGAATATCTCGTATTCGTTGGCTGAACACTGACTACATGGTTGATCCAGGAGTTTCCTCCCACTTCACTTCGTAAGCAATGCACCCGAGCTCCATGGGCGTTGCGACCTCGAAAAGTTAAACAACAATAACATCACTATTATTGTGCAGCGCACTCTCCTGTTTCTTTGCAAAATTTTGGCAAGGCTGGTGATCGAGTGGCAGTGGGCAAAGTTTTCTTCAACCCGATCCGCTTCCCCTTCGAGATCCTGAATCGTCTCTCCGGCTTTCACCGAGGTGGAGAATACCACCGAGTGACGGTTACCGGGCTAAATGCTCCACAACCTCGGTGGGCCACTAATGCCCAGAACATGTGAAAGGTTGCACTCGGTGAGGTGAGCACACCGAGACAATAGGGGTTACGAGCAGGAAATTGACACGATGGGCTTCACCGGATTCTGCTCTCTTCCAAGATGACTCACGTTCTCTTTCCAATACTATGAGAAACAGAAATGATTGAATACTATCCAAGAGGTTTTCTGGGCTCATGCAATTTGAGTCACTTGAAACTTTGAAACCCCGCATTTCTCCTCACGAAAGCTGCACAAATCACCAACAAAAATGATTTATCAAAGTTAGAGAAAATTCGAACATCCACAATCTCAATATATGATTACAAGTGCATGTACTATCATATCGCTTAGTTCAACGCGTCTGAATCTGGAAGTTGATTCGCTCAACTCCGCAGTCTATGATTTGCCAAGAACAATCCTTCGTCTGTCATGAGGTCGATTCGTAAAGCCTGATCCGTCATAGGGAGTTGGGGTAGGTGCATATGTAAGAGAAATCCGAGGGATAAGCCGCCCATGAGAATCCTACCGGTCAATTATGTTCCACGAGTGATCTCAACATACTTTGCTTGTAGTTTCACGGTCAGTTTCACGGTCGGTCGCCGATTGCAAGTTGGAATAGAGCAATCTGAGAACCCCCTTTCACAAATCTGAATATTCGTTGGAAGCAATGGTACGGATAGTCCAGATGATGCTTGCTGTTGCCCTAGGGATTCTCGCTAGTTACTCGCGCGCACGATCATCCGCTCGGGGATAGCTTTGCGATCGACACTCACATCTAGCAACGGATGTGACCTCCGCCTGTGGGACGTAGAATGCCAAGACCTCTGACGTGTTGATTCTAGCTTCCATTACGCCAGTATTGGTTGTTAGAAGCCTGTATAGATGTTGAAAGATGAATCGTGGACTTGTCACGACAAGTACGGTAGTTCGAAACCCACCAATGTGGAATCAGCCTTACTTTTTGAAGGCTTGTTCTCCGGCGAACATGGAAGGTTGTATGTGACAATGGGGAAGCGATACCTTTCCGAAGCATTGGACTATATAAGATAAGTCGATGCCATCAGTCAAACTTGAGTTCATCAACAAGTTCCCACCGGAGAAGTAGCATCTCAACATTCATCAAACCTGAGTCACAAGACATTTTCACTCGCACAACCGTAAGCGCACATGCCTAAGATTCATCTTTCAATCCAAAGACTTCATGAGTGTGCCTTGAACTGACCAAAACGCTTTTACAGTCTTATCGCACCCATCATGAAATTTTTCGCCGTCGCCGCGCTCGCCTTTGCGTCCGTTGCCGTCGCTGCCCCTGCACCTGAAGGGCAGACTACGTCCATCAAGCTGAGCAAAGACTACGTCGACGCCATCATCGCCGCATACCCCGACGTTCACAAGCGCCATTGCAGCTTCGACTTCAGCTGCGGCTGCATATTTTGCACCTAAGGGAGATCGTCTAAGGAGCGCTGACAGCTAGGCTGGACATGTTCGCTCGGTTCATCTGCCGACGGGGAATGTGTACTATCTCAGTCTCACCGTGCGGTGCCCATCGATAGCTTGAATTATTTGAATAAACCCCATACATCAGTCTTGTAACACCGTGAATGTTGCGCAATGTTGGAAGTGTAAGATCAATTGACGAGGCGCGCCTAATGCCGCGGCATTGAAGACATTGGTATTTGTTTTATCATTGATTTTCACCTGGTTGAAAGGGGTGCTTGAATCGTAGTTGATGAAAGTTGTTCGAGACTCTAATTCCAGAAATCCTGAACGGCCTGTTTCATGGCACCATGATTCGTGACCGTTGATCATCGGGCCCTTCCGTACAGGTACCTCTGCCCTGGACCGGACATGCACTGCCCCTCCTCGGCGCCGGCCGATCGAGACCCAGAAAACCTCGGAGCACGCTACGGCGGGAGCACCCGCCCGGAAGCGGATCATCCGGATCAGCTTCGGAAGGTTTTGCCGCACTGGGCTGCCGAGAGCAAGAGCCGCCGGAAACAACCCTCCGGCCCGTGCATCTGAGTTCACGTTCTGGAAATGCGGTCGACAATCGGACGTCCAATACTCGCAGAGGATATGCGCAATGCCACCGCATGCCGCAACCATGATGAAATTCGCGTTGCAGGACACGCACATGCTGCATGACGTCACGAATACACCATAGACATGATCACTATCGAACTGAGGTTTTCCAAAGACCAAAAACAGGAAAGGAATCGCAAAGACACGAAGTCCGGCGGTAAGCAAGTCTAGACGAACATCGACAGACCCAATCGTGGTACTACACCCAAGGATCCCGCTTAGCGAGCGACATTGCAATCTCGCTCACGGTGAACAATGGCAACCAAGTCGGAAACGAACCCCGCCGCCGGCGACCCGATTACCACCAAGAACCAGGTCCTGCAAGCCGGCGCCTCGGCCGTCCAGGTCTGCTTTTGCCTTCCGATGCGACATATGGATGGTGAATCCCATCGTGCTAACCGGACAACCAGGACTTTGCGCCGCTGAAGAACGTCTGCGCGCATCTCAACGCGTTCCACGCCTACGCTTCGGACCCGTCCCGGGTGGTTGAGGCGAACCACTATTGCGGACATTTGAACGACGATGTCCGACAGTGCATCCTCTACGACAGCCCCGAGCCCCACGCGCGCATCATTGGCATCGAGTACATGATTTCACCGAAATTGTACGAGACGCTGGACCCGGAGGAGCGGAAGCTGTGGCATAGCCATGTGCACGAGGTCAAGTCGGGGATGCTCATCATGCCCCAGCCGTCGTTGCCCGATGCGCTGTGGGAGGCGGCGGAGAACAAGGAAATGGAGGAGATTGTTCGCGTCTACGGCAAGGTCTATCACCTCTGGCAGGTTGACAAGGGCCATCAGCTACCTCTAGGAGAGCCGCAACTGATGACAAGCTTCACGGCCGAGGGACAGTTGGACTTTGAGAAGTATGTGGGCGATAGAGACCGGCGGTTCAAGACGGATTATAAAGAAAAGCAGAAGGCGCGGAAGCATATTGCCTCGCCGTCGGTCCATCCCGACGCTGACCAAGCCTGGAAGAAGGCACAGCAGTAGAAGGGGAAGCCGAAGGGGCTGAGGTGCAGAGCGTCAAACACTAATGAGGTTAGATGCGACAGCCGCTGGGCTGGGTTGCAGTGCTGGCTGGAAATAGGCAATCTGCGAGGTTGATGCATCGTGCCGCCGAGAAAGGGGACCAGGCCGCTCCTAAATCCCCGATCATAATTATCATTGGTCCAGGCGTCGACTTTTTGGCATAAGGTTGCAAGCGGGTCGAACAGGAGAACGGCGACGCGAACGCTCGGCGGGGTTGGAGGGGAGGGGAGCATAGCAATTTTGGGCAGGTAATTAAAAACTAAGCTTTTACAGTTGCGGAGGGCAGCGCGAGACGAGATTGAAATCCATGTGAACACGGAGGACGGGGGCGCCGGTCGCGAGACTGAGAGAGAGAGCGTTCGAGTTTGCATGTGTGGACCAATATCATGAAGAAACTGGCCAAGTGACGACACCACAGCGCATGGCTGTCTTGCAAAGACGCAAAGAACCCCGAGCTATCTCCTTTTTTGCGACCCTAGTGGCTCGATGTCGATGCTTCAGATTCGTCTCGAAACGTCCAAAATCCACCCACGAGCGATGCAGCCCACCCATTTGAGGCTGCCGGTGATCGAATGACACCTGCTCTAACTGTGGGCCGAGGTGAAACGTGAAGGGTAGATCCTGGTATTAGGATCCCTGCGCTGCCGGGGGGAGGCGCTCTCCTTGCAGCAATCTTGTGGATCTCGCGCTTCTCCTTTCCGTCGCGGAGAATTTTTATTTGGGGATGGTGGTTGTCTTGGTGGTGGTTTTGGTGGTTTGTGTGAGTGTGCGTAAGGTGGCAGCCGTGTTGGAGACGCGGGCGGGAATTATGACCGGAACTTAGCAGCCATGGAAACCAAACTGTATGAGCATGACAAAAGCGTAATGGCAAGGCAAGCAGGAGTGAAGTCCGCCAAGTGGCCAAGCAGCGTGCATCATCCCAGTGACGGACGGCCTTCCATGCAAGGTACCATATAACGCTCTTTTAGTCCGTCCGGCGGTCAGGTACCCGTTAATCTATGTATATTGTATCCGTTACCTTATGTCGAATACGGGGATTCGTGTGGGCAAGATAGATTGCTCCCCGGACCCCCGAGGAGATTGGCTTTACTATCGGTAGGGCCGCTGCTGATGATTGACGCTGATTGACGGCGACTCTCCACGCTGATGCGCTGCTGAGGCAGGTTGCTCGTTCTTGGCTTCTGGAGTTCACGGTCGCAACACCACACATAATCCCCGAGTCGGTCATCGGTAAGTGGCTCCCGATCGTCATAAACATCGACAATTGACAGCTTCTTGGAGGAGGCTCAGCTGGGGCTGGGCGGGATTGGGAACTGGGACTAGCGGCTCGCATCTTCTTGCCCTCGTCGTCTGGTCGGAATCTCTAAAACAAGTCCAGCCACGATCTGGATGGATCTGGGCGGCATCTCCATCCGTCGCCTGTGTGGCTTCTTTTGGGCTAAACAGGCGACCCCTTCGGCCGGTCTCCGAGCGTCGGTCTCACCCTCGAGGGCGGGACGAAAAGGTGACTGCGTAAGGGAAAAGAGAGAGAAAGGAAGAGCAAGAGTGAGTGTGTGAGAGAGTCAGCAACACCAGACGAGTCCACGTTCTGTCCGTCCTACCCGCTGCCGCAGCCGGGACGCCACGATGCCTGCCTGCTGGCTGTCAACGTCAGGATTTCAGGAATGGGACGAAAAAGAATGGGAGGAATCTTCCAGCCCCGGCTTGCTGTTCGCTCTCGCCCTGCTTTCCACTCTCTCGTCGCTCGCCCTCGGCCGCCGCCATCGTCGCGCGCTTTGGGCTTTGCCTCTTGGCACGTGTATCACAC